GGATCGACATGGATCATAGGATACGCAATCCAGGATGCATCGTGATCCGTAGGGAGGCAGAGAACGCTGCCCAGTTTTCGTGCATACACACAGCGCCTTGAGAGAATTCCGAAGTTTTCGGAAGATTCGCGATCGAGACGAAGACAGCAGAAAGTAGTCAAGTGTAGCGAGCAGATTGAAGTGAGTCTCACCTTGTGTCCAGAGAAGGGAATATTCTTAGCGAACGCATTCAGGCCCCAAGGTTCTAGGTAAACCTGCTGAAGTTCCAGAGAACTGACTCAAACTGTGTGTTCGGTGCACCGTGTCCGTGTTTTTCTCTGAAGCATTATAGATTTCGAATTTAAAACACTATGCGGTTGCGGGCTCATCACTCTCGCCGGCCGACTCCATCTTCCGAGTCCGTGGCGGACGGAGAGCTCGCGCACTGATAAGCTACCTTGGAATTCCGCCTTGAGGAGTCAGAACTGACCGCCGCCCCCACGGAACCCGAGACTCGGGTTCTCATAATTGTTTCTCTCCATCAGAAGTCAATCAGACGTCCGCCGAGCGATTGATAGATCCAATGCCTGACATCAACCGAGTTGAAGAGTCAGCTCACCGATCCGCATGAGTGAATAAGTGTGAATCATACAAGTTGCATGAAAGAGGGGAACGGGGCAACTCTCCTTCGACCACTTTTATTGGGCGCCATCTCGGAGGTGGCAAGCGGCGAAAAACAGAAGATCCCATAAAATTTTCCACATGATAATTGAAATTCGGGTATTTGTGGTGAGCGGCGTTCTCGCTGGTTGCAAATGAGAAAACGCAAGTTTCAGTCAGAAGGATTTCACATTTTCGTATGTGGAACGGGATGCGGGGATAGAGTTCTTGAGAAGGAGTGCCACTCTCGAGATCCGCTCCGGGCGCAACTTGCGCACGTTCCGCCAGTTTACGGGTCTGCTATCAGAGTGGGAACGAACAACAAAGACGACAATGAGATGCTTAGACCATCTTGTTCCGATACCGTCATCAAGACCCCAGAGTTCGCGGAGGTTAGGAATCCCATGCCACGGCAAGGTCGTCGATGGACTTGAGACTTTTTCCTTGCTCTAAAGATCATCGGGATCCTTCTGGCCACCCGTCATATGTGCTTACCGATCCGCTCGGAATCCTTCGGAAATCATCTTGTGGGCGGCGAACAACACGGCTCGCATTCACCACCCCCGGGAGTTCGAGGGAGAACGACATTCGAGGCCTTGTCACGGAAGCCTTTCTGAAAGATGCTTCCATGATATCCTCGTCGTCAGAGTACAGACTATCCGAGTCTATTTGTAGGTTGCTCATCTTCACGTTACTATTTGGAAAAATTCGCCCATGGGAACCGACCCGACCCTGCTCCAGCGACCATTAGATTCTTCTTGAGCGTCGAGCGAGCCCCTTGGGTGTGGGTATACATCGCGTTGAGGCTTTTGGGGGATCGATCAGGCTCTGAACGAAGAAGTTGAGGTCGCGCCGGGACATATTTCTGGGTTCCTCGAAGGTATGATCATTCTCCCTGAACCAGAGATTATTTCAAAACGCTCGAGGAAGCTAAACTACGTTTTGCGCAATCTAGCCTCGACGTGAGCCTTCGTTGCGAGCGATCGCAGCGGAGCCGGAGGAAGGAAACCATTCGCCCCCTGAGAGGAAATTCCTCGAATTCGTTGCAGTGAGAACAGGCGAAAAAAACATGATTTTTCAGTAAACATGATCAAGCGTCTCGGCATACCGATCGTCGAGCGAGGAGCTCGCCGATGAGGAAGCAGAAATCTATTATCGAGACGCGAAAAACTGACCGGAAACAATAATTTGAAACGTCGAACATCGTTCTATCCAGTTCTCCTGGAAGAAGAAACTCGGGGCTGTCCTCCCCAACCCGAATTCGATCCCGATATGCCGGATTCAGCGGAATGCGGACAGGATCGCCTGTGTGATTGTTCGGTGTAGATTGCGGGAGGAAGATGAACAGCATCACGAATCGGAACGGGAGAATATTAATTGGATGAATCGGTCGAAATTATGCACCTGCAGAGCAGAGACGCGCACAGGGAGGGGGGGCAAGGGGGCCATGGCCCCTACCAAAATTCTTCGGTTTCAATGCTAAAGTATGGACCCCGAGAAGACGCGTCATCATTTTTGGTCGTCTGGCCCCCTCCTAAATCCTAGTTTCCCCCTCCCAGAAAAAAATCCGGTGCGCGCCCCTGCTGCAGAGCTGCGGGAGAGATTCGATGAAAAAATATTGCATGAAGATTGTCTCCTTGGTGGTTGAACTTCCACTCCGTACAGACTCTCCTGACATCTTATCACGCGTACTGAGCTCCAAAGATTTTTTCCACAAGGGTGTGCACGACCCATGTGTACATCCCTCGAGTCTTCGGCAGTTTTCCAGCCAGCCTCCTGAGGGCAGTAATACCCTCTCAAACATCTTTTGTGAGCCGCTTCCGAGGACATCAATCGATTATATGACTCCTCGCACTCCGAGTAGCGGAAGGTTGATGATCACATCACCCAATCGAACTTACAAGCTCCAGAGAAAGAGAGAGAACCCTCCCGGAGGTATTTGCCGCTGGGTAGATCTGAAGCCAGAGTGGTCCGCCGCTCTGGTGGACTTGTATTGACGCCATCGGCCCCGCTTTTTGCGATAGGGCGCTGTTCCGAATCCGGCAGTGTAGTTCTTGGCATTTGATTTCCATCCTCCCGTCTGGAGGAAGGGGGTGGGAATATGCCGTGAAGTACAACGGGAATCAGGGAGTTGGTGGCGACGTACGGCGATCAAGCTCTGAGGTGTATCGGTCCCTCTGCGATGTGAAAATTACCCTATTCCGTAAGAATCTCCGAAGACCGGATGACCTCGAGGCTGTGGAAGATGACTGATGATTCATCAGTGATGAATAATAATCCTCACTCTCAGCCCGGCATGAATGAGCGAAGCCCATCACGCTCGAGTTCGTCGGGATTTGATCGCTTGAATTTGTCAGGGGACCCACGAACCGTGGAAGAAACCAGCCTCCAGGAAGTTCTCTCGATGATACGTCTTTTTACGACAGAGGCGATAGACGGGCAATAGGAGCATCGGAATTCGAAGGTTGACAGACCGTCCCTAGAAACTTGCATTAGCATCGGAGCGCCGAAGGGGACTTCAACATTGTGAGTCGTCTCGATACGATTCGCGCACAGAAATTCCAAAGTCCTTTTCTGAAATCTTCAGGCATCATTGACCATTCAAGGACAGATCACGTTCCAGATCAGCAATTCGATGAATATCTGAGCATGTCCACCCAAGTAGATCATTTTGTACGCCGCTCTCGTTGAAAATCGCATCTTGTTGTTCAACCGTCCTCAAACAATCGCGAGCCCGACCAGACATGCGTCTCCTGACATGGAAAGCTTTCCGATCGCGTTCATTGAGGATCCCTTGCTTCAGAAGGACCGAAATTGATTATTGGCGCTGACAGCTGCGGCTCGGACACGAATCGTCCACGAAGATCGCACTGGGCGTGGAGGCAGAAGTCATTCATGGATCGCTCGGAGTATGATGCCGCATCGGTTGATCATTCACGCTTCTCCCTCGGGAAAACTGCGCCTCGCCGCTCATTCGGTAGAGTCTGACAAGGTACACCCTAGATGCAAAGTTTCTCACCGTACACATTAGGTTCAAGACCCAGAAAACTCACGGGACGAAGTCTCGCCGATTCCGAACCAGCTGGAATCATCATAACTTTGAAATTCTCTCCTAGGTATACTGTCTCTGTGAGGATCCAGAATCCGATACATAACCTTGAAGGGAGGATGTGGAGACTATCATAGAGAAGACAAAGATTTTCGAGCAACTGTTTGTTTTTCTTCGGATTCTCATGGGTTTACAAAGTTCCCTTTTTACAAGCCGTCCGAAAACCCTCTACTCCATGTGATTTGCCCTGCTTCACAAAATAGATGAATCCTCCAAGAAACATAGTTCTCTCTGCAAGAAGATGAGGGCCGTGCTACTGGGGAGTCTTCATCGGTCGGAGACGGCGCTGAGCCAACAGCATGGTCAGCGAGGCTATCCACGAATCATGCCATAATCATCTCGAATTCACTCATAGAACATACTCGGTAAGCTCTGCGAGATGTCAACTGACTCACGCTTAAGGACGGAACGCTCGAGCGCGTCTCCGCGTCATTCCACATCAACGATCTCGCGGTTAAGGAATTCCCGGATTTCCTTGAGCTAAGTTCCTTGCCGCGCACCTCGAGAGCTAGAAGGATCTCTTCGCAGCGAATCGACATTCCAGGGGGTGCTATGCGACGGAAACAGCGGCATGGGCGGCGATTAGTAATGGGACGAATATAACACATTTAACACTGCGAGCATGGACTCGCGGGGGATAACCTATTGCCAGTCTGACTGATCTGATATCGCGATTTTTCGATATTCGTCCCGCTGCGAGTGCAGGCTCCGACTACATTTGCCGGCTGCTATGATATTCGCGTCCCTCGTCGAATATTCGATCAAAATGTATGTATATGAGACGAACACCAGCCCTGAGTCGGATTCAAGCAGAAGATCGGCATTAAATCAGCTCCCACTAGCTGAGTGTTTCAAGCTACTCCGACTCGTCGGCGTCTCCGATGCGCGAGATTGGGTTGATCCGACAAGATTCCGAACTCGAACGAAGGATAATTTCAAAGTCTAGGAAGTGTTCGACTCGCAATCTCGATACCCTCGAGCCCAGCGCCGGCCCTCTGTCTCTCTCCCTACGATAATTATCTGATGCGTACTAGTCCGGTTCGTGATCCGGCGATTCGCTTCGTCTTCGGCTCCGCCGGATGGCACCAAGTCTCGCGCACCTTCGATTCCGCCTATTGATGGATTCATTGGCTTCCGATTGATTAGTGGATTGATTGACTTTTTCATTAATAGATATTCCGATATAGTTATCTTATAGATAATAATAATACTGTATAAAACTATTCAATATGAAAAACGGATAAGCAAAATATTGTACCACGACGGGGCGGCCAGCATCATTCCGGGCTATGACTTGGCGCTTCGTCGTTTCAACAATTGTCTCTCGACATCATCGTCTCGATATCGGTCGACGGGGAAGTCCGCCGAACGGTCGAAGAGCTCCCCCGGATTTCCCTTTCCTAGGAACAATTACTCTACTATTCGAGTTCATTTTTGGGTGGTTTTGGACGTTTCGATTTTAATGCTGGGCTGCTAACGGGTAATTTCCGGCATTGCTTAGAAAAATACGAAACAACTTCTCGATTGAGCGGTTGACGAGCTCGGTCCAGATCATCGAGACGGATCCCTTCCGACAACGTCGAGGACTGCTGCGGCGGCAGATGTATTCGGAACTTCATCATCGTTCGTTCAACATGCACGTTTTCCAGGTGAGGCTGCCAGGTGATTAGGAGGGGATTGGCGAAGGTGGGGATGGATGCTCTCAGTCCGTGATCTCGAACGACTCCGGAAGGAGTTCACGGCACGACTCGGGTTCTCCTTATACGGTTCTAAACATGTGGCACACTTGGCCGACTCCCTCGATGAAAAAACTATCTCCGGTTGTGCTGAATCCTTGCCGCGTGTAAACCAGTTCGGCGGTGCATCTTGCTACGCACCACAACATGCGACCTGCAACAATGTCGGAGAACTCGCTGTCAATCGCTTGATCGAGGAATAGGCTTGGAAGAAAAATATGAAGGCACATTCATGGGTTTCTCATGGAGATACTACATTGGAAATTTGAGATGCTGAAGATGATCCAGGTGACGATGGGGATTCTGCGGCTGCTGCTGCTGTTGCTTTATGGGTCAGGTTTGCTAGCGGGTCAAGCTTCTTACCTCCTCGTTCCTGAGCGTGTCGAAGGCAAGCGGCTATGAGCTTCGTACCCAGTCCCTTGCTTCGCATTTTAGCAGCAACTGCGAAGCCCCGAATCCGCCATTGTGTGTTTCCCCTGGGAGTAGGTAGATGGCAGGCCGGCTTCTGTTCGGCTTTGACGTCACTGAAGTCCTCCTAACAAGATAACGTAGACGATTTTAATACGGTGGGAAATGCTTCGTTTGAGCCCGCGTCATATCGGTTGACAAGGGTAGATGGGGAGAGTGGGAGGAAGACATCGTTGCCCTGACATGGTCGTTTATACGATCAACGAGGACGGCTATGATCGTACGGGACGCAAACTAACAAAACGGTCTCATACGACGTCCCCGGGAGCTTATTTGTCTATGTCACCTCACCTGGAACATGGAGATAACTCCGACTAGCTCATTATTAACGAAGGCGCCGAAATGAATCGACGTGTCGTCGAGGTCGCCGTCGTAGTATACAACGTCCAAATCTGGCCGGAGAACTTCTTGCCGCAGGGGACAAGTGTCTTGATAACTGATCGTTCGGACCTGTGGCAATGAGAATCAACTTGTGAGATTTGCTCGGTGAACTCACAGGGGGCGCCAACTGTTGCCTGCTTGCTTGCTTCCTTTCTGTTCTTTATCTAGCGGATATCCACTCGAAATCGACTGCGATTGCACCGCCCTCGCAGATCCGGTCGGGCCAGACACTGCAGCCGGATTTTGACAAACACTTCAACGCGCAATGTCTATCGATCACTTGGCGGGAGTCGAGGTGAGCTCCATCATCACGACGAGCAAGAACTTTACGATGACATCATGATTTATCCCAATGTGGGGACAGACAAAATCTGCGCAGAACCGGGTGTGGGCATCGGACGAAGCTCTACACCCTGCCGTCCACAGGTTCGGTTCCAGGTAGCGGAAGGGCTACGGCTTCGCATGTGGAGCTATTCATAGCTAGGTAGGCTCTCGGACCCGAGCTTGAACCTCTCAGCTTGCGGCAAGAGAATACGTTGCTAGCCAGGCACTCTCATTTGTATATCAGAGTAATCGCTAAGGGGGCGACGGAAAAGGAAAGTACTAACCGTGACCTCCAATGGTTCTGCGGCAGCCACTGCCAGCGTCGGTGTGGAATCCAAGAGTTTAGGCTCCTCCGACGGGGACATGAGACCTAGAACGAAAGGAGAGCCTTCATTGAGAGCCCTGCATCGCCAATGCTTCTCCTCGGGGATAGGGAGGATATAAATTGGGGAAAAATTCTGCTATTCCCAGTCCAGGGACGGCAGGTCTAATGAGCGGAGAATCCATCGATCGCAAATTAATTATTCGTTCCCAGGCTGAAAAAAATCTATCGCGACGAAATTCCGTCGAATCGAATAGTTCTCCCGGAGCGACCGGTTTGGAAAGACTTTTCACACTTGCCGGCTGGACAGAAGCATTTCGGAAGGCGGTCGCACAAGTTGGCGCGGCACATAACAGCAACAACAGCCATGTCGATCGCTTGGGTCACTCAGCGCGAATGAGTCGTCCAGCGTCGCCAGCGATGCTCTTATAGCGCTTGTTTGGCGCTCTTCGCGGCCCGCTGTAGCTCAAGTTCGACGCCTCGGAGCCCGATAGAGCGCGTATGTATAAGAGTCTGTTCTGGGTGTACTGCCAAATCTTGAGATTTCCGGAACAGCGGCATCGCGTCACATTCCCGGTCCAGAGGTCACGTATGTTGGAGCACAACCTGTCAACGACGTTGAATCCGGGCCAGCGCTTCTCCGGAATCAGCGATAACTCCAACAAGAGGGAGAGAGAGAGCGTGCGAGCGAGCGCCCAAGCAAGTAGCTCGGTGACAGCCGAATACCACCCGGAATCGGCCGCTCGTATGTCAGCAGCTCAAAGATGAAACTAGTTGAAAGCAGTTGCCGGACCATTTGACGAGAGGTGGAGAACCACCGATTCCGGGTAGAATCGTCGCCGTACCGTCGGGACACCCCGGAGGTGTAATCAGCATCCTCATCGCGTTTGAGTTCGAAACGATCCATAGAAGGGCGCGTGAACAACGATCAGAGGGCTTCTCCGCCCATATAACGGTCTCCATAGATCCGTCGGCTCTACCTGTCCGAGAAAACGAGCGGCTCGCGATTGGATACGGAGCTGCAAGTCGAACTTATGCGGAAAACTTATAAGGGAGTTTTCTATGGATAATTATTCGGGTCGGCGCTTCGGGCAAGGCGCAAAAGTTTCGGTCGAACTCGCATCCGATCCACTCCGGCTCCCAAACTCTACCTGGCTGTCGTCTCGTTTCCGGAAACTCCGGTTTTGGCCAAAGCGCTCGTTCGGCGCAATCGAATCGGCGACGTAATGTTTACGGCTCAACATGACAAAGGTTAGTATGCAAAAATGATGCTGGGGTCAATGACCAGCCGTCCACAGCGAGTGAGGCTCTGATTTCATTGCGATTCATTTCGATCACATTCCTGTGAGTCATTGGACCAGATAGAGTTTCTCGCCGCGACGCGGCGTCATCACAGAAGACACTTCGAGACAGCCCCACCTCCTGTATGTGTCCTTGTCGTACTAGGTCTTCAGCTCCTGGTGAGCACATCACATTTCTGTTCTGTGGTGTTTCCGCTGCGCAACGTTCGGGATATTCGTCGGACGACGCGCTGTCGGAGCATAGAGATGACGACACAGCATGGAGCCAGAAAAGGAGCCGTTCGACCCCGTTCGAGCCGCTTGAGAGCGGAACCAGACCCGGACAACGCTGCTCTTCATTCGAAAGGGAATCGGGCCCTTCGACCTCAATCCTAGTGTCGCTGCGGAAAAACTTGGGAACTTCTGGAAAAACACTTCGAGGGGCGCGCTCGCGGGAGCAGACCCGTCGACCTACAGATAATTCCGAGGAATATATGCCAGGAGAGATGCTTCTTCTCCATTGAGCGGTTCCGGGCGAACCTGATCGGATAGTTTGTTTCGACTAATCAGGCAGTTGCTGGAATCGACCCACCAAACGGGCTGGAGCCGTTTTACCGGTGCTGTTTCTATCGGACCCAACATAGTGATCTGTTGGCGGACAGGGCGTGGTATCATTCTCTCGCGGTTCGTTTCAGCCGCTTCCGCTTGGTCGACTGCTCGACTGGCAAGCTGTATATAGTCCGTCCATCCGTCCGTAGTCTGTTCGTTCAGTTGGGATCTGGTCGAATTCGGTTTGTCGACAAGGCTGGACGAAATTTCCCCCGGGAAGGCTGCGCAACGCTCGGAGACCACGATCCGTTTGAGCATGCGTTAACGTATTTTTCTCAAACTCGCCAGACTCGAGCGTGTCGCATCTCTTGTTCGGGATTCCCTGGCGATGGTCTTTCCATTAACCCTGATTCCTTGTCAGCGATTCTGACGCTGCGGGAAGCTCCCCTTAGGATGGAGGCTCGATCACGGCGAGCTCGAACACGATTTGTACGAAAGAGGCGAATCGCATCGACGTCAGCGGTGCTTCACGTGTGGCGTGAGGCGACCACGTACTCGCTGCGAGGACGGAGCGTTCGCTTGCAACTCGCTCATACGCAAGTTTTCGATGGAGTCCCGAGCGACACATGACCCGCTCCTTTGTTGGATCGCTCGTGAGTCAGATCCGTCCCTGCCGGCACTCTTTTCTCTCTCGCGGAAGAGGAGCTCACTCGAGCGCTTCTAAAGAAAAGCGCAACTGAGATTCTGGAAAAATGTCCGATTCCTAGAAGGGTCGTTCCCGGACAAAAATGTGGTCAACCCCGCGGAATATCCGCGGACAGGTAGTATTTCAGTTCTCGGAGCTCGTGGTGGTGTTCTTACACTACTGGAACCGGAGAATCACCCTCGAAATCTATCAAAATACCTAGATCCCGCTCAAGCAGCTCCATCGAAGGTACAGGGACTTCTCCGTGTCGCCGGATGCGGCTGGTTCAATCCCTAATGGCATATATCACCATGGATCCGCCGCAGTTTCGGGACACCCGGGATTCCTTCGCTTGGATCATCGTTCCGGCCCAGAGCTCGAGGAGAGAATCTCTCTCCTCCGGGCAGCGAGAAATTTCGATCTCCTCGGCGGCATGCAGAGATACGTCAACGAGCCTCGGCTGGAAGGTCTTCGGGAACTCGTTCATTGTAGAAGACGTTGCCGGCCCATCAACAGTCTTCTTACTTCGCTGAGACCATTCTTGCTTTCTCCTTGGGGTTCAATGACCTCCTAACAGTGGAGGTTTGCTGCGTGGCTGCCACGAAGGCTGGGTCGCGGAACCCAGCGGAGTGTGGGATGGGCGAAAATTCCCATCGGGAGAGGGAAAGAGATCCTGTACCTATCTAAATTCTCGATGGTATAGACGACGTGAGCACGTGAGCACTCTCGTTGACAATCAAAGGAAAAGGATGAGGCCCTTCTTTGGCTGCCACGATTCGAGTCGAAAACCGCTTGCTGTAAGCTATCCCAACGCCAAGTGACCCCCTCGATAGATATGTACATATTGGATGGGGCTTTTTCCTGTGTCTCGCCATCGTTTTTCCCCATCTAGGGCCTGCGTTGGGGATCCAGGGCATCAATTTTCCGGTCGGGAATGATTGAGTGCAGGCGAAGGTTTCGTTCCCGAAGTCTCACTCAGACTGAGTGAGCTGGGCTCGCAGCGGGAGGAATTTATAAGCTGAAGCGGAGCACAATTTCGCGTACATGTCCCCGATACCTCAGACTTTGATTTCAAGCAAAATGGATTTCGGAGGGATCTCATCCCCGTTGACTATTGGACGGCCACAACTAGTTTTCCGAAAGAAACGATACTCCGGGCACGGCCGTGGGGCGCGTGAGGCTTTCGGGCATCGCCGGGAAGACCTCTTGCTGGAAAATTGACGCTTGGAAATTGACATCTATGCGGGGAAGACTTGGACGGATGGCTCTCGATTATCCCTAGGCGGGGCGTCTCGGCCTACCGCGCATCAATGAGACACAGCCACAACTCAGGTGACAGAGGACTCGTGCAGCCATGGGGACGGCCATGGGGGAACCAAAAAAGGCATTCCGAGTGTCTGCGGAATCGATTCGGAGAAACTTCTCCCAGAGACCAGAAACGACGACTCCCGGGAGCTGCCGGCTGAGACTGCACTCCGCGCGAGAATATCAACACGTCTTCCACGAATCTCGCAAGAGAGCATCCAATCGCATCCATTGACCACGAGTATCCAGCGTGAAAGTCATCCATGCTGTCTGTGGATCCTCCTCGCTCGAGAGCGTGACCTTTGGAATCGGGTTCGATGGGGGCGCAACTTCCTCGAGACGGCACGACCCGGTGGAATTATTCACCGGCGTCGACGGTTTCCCCAGCATTCCGTGACTCGATTCGTGACAACAAGATACTCATTGCGTCCTAATTGCGCCCCTGAGGAATGCCCCCAGCGGAGTAGGGAAGCGGAGGAGCGGCGCAGTGGGTTTCGAATCGCTCATGGCCGAACATCATCAGATAGAACGAAGCCGTCGATTGGGTGCCATAGTATCACTCTCGATTATAATATCGAAAGTCGTAAGACTGTTTACAGTGTCCGTGTCGAGGAAGAAATTCGGCCGCCGCTCTCTGTCGGAAACTGTACAGTTGGACAAACAGCGCAACATGTACCGATACGTCGTTCTCGGTACGCGTTACGGCGGGACCAGACTTCAATGGAACCGTTCGAACGAAAATTCGGCCCGAACGGTTTTAAAAAATCCAAACGTCCGGCCACTTGGAGAGGAGCATCTAAAATAATAAGGTAGTTCCCTCTCGGACGGAGGGAGTCGACGGCTCCCATGTTCGGACGGGAATCCCTTCCATGATCGTCGGCGTCCTAATCGTGAGTATCCGTAATAATTTATTACCATAACGGATGTCATCGAGTGGCTCAGTGGTGCATGCTCCCGAATAAGCAAAGAATCCGGATCCTAGACCGCTCCGTTTTCGAATACATCCCGATGGCCGCTTGAAGGCTCCTTTATAATTGAATGAACGATACAGTCATCAGTTCTCGAATGTGCAACGAGGAGCCATTCCACCGAATATTCTCATCTCCGGTACATATATAATCCATTCGATGATGTTTGCGGCCGTTGCATTCGAGAAGTATAAGGGTCCAAGGTCGGCGGCAGCTCATGAATACGCGACTCCGGACTAGGTCTACTTTTCGCGTGAGACCAACAGCATTATTGGACGGCTCCGAATGAAATTGCCTCGATGCCCTTTGACGACCGATGGTATCTGTCGAACAACTCGAGCAAGGGAACGAAAGGATTCCCTTGAGCACCTGCATTATCCTGTCCGACACTCGGAACCAGGTTTCTAATCATAGCCTGCCTGCTATCGCTGTCAACTTCCTCACGGAGGGGATGATTTATGAAGAGGGGCGACATTGACGGAACCGACTTGTTGTCGAAATTATTCTCTCTCTCGACAAGGTTTGTCGGAGGATGCGATCGGTTTCGCAACAACGAGCCGACGACAACAACGAGTCGCTATCTCCAGCATTCGGATTGGTCGAGAGGGACCTTTCGACCCGTACCCACGTGCTCGAGGAAGCTCCGGTCACTTGTCGGAATCTTCTCGCTTATCAATTATCGAAAACTCTTCACAGCTCATCTCAGGAGGGAGGGAGTCTGTTGCACGTCTTCGGATTATTTCGAGCCCAGGGATTTTCAACGATCCACACGGCAGTTTCCGAAGGAACCAGAGAAGCAGGGACATCTAGCTGTACTCGGCGTCACGGCCCAGCTAGGCCTGCCGAACAGGTGAACTCTGAGAAGAGTCGTGAATTGTTAACGTTGTTGACTCTCAGGAACACGAGCCAGAATCGTCCGGTCGTGACTCGTTTGAAATCCGCGTATCGCCTGAGTGACTCGCACGATCTCAATGCTTCATCCCGACGTGAAAAAAACTGCATCGCTGCTTGTCCTGAACAAGTCCGGGCTCCGACATCAGTGCTGAACGTGCTCCAACATCGGGATCGTTGCATAACCCGAGTCCCGAATTCAGAAAATTGAGATTTAGGTTTCTCGTTCCCCGAGCCGGAAGTGCGACGTTTCCCCTGGCAAGACGGGCTCCCTTCGAAGTTCCTCGCGAGTATCGAAAATTGTCGCTCGACGCAAGCAGAAGCCGGTACACAATTCACCACTCTGATTGTCCTCTCACGTCGTTGTCGCCCGCAATCTCCCGCCACCCAATATCAATGCTGGACGGTTTAGGGTGAAGCGATGGATGCGATCGACTATATTCGTTCCATACAGATCGGGCGGACTTCGGGAGACAAGTCGATGGAAATCCGAGGTCTGCCCTACTTCTGGTCGACTGACGCAAACTTTGAGTCGAGCCTCGGCTTCGAGGGTCACTGGAGCATGGAGAGCACGTCGCACATTTGACCAGATCTCGTTTGGTTCCGAGACCCAACTATAAGTGAACAGAATGCTCACATCCTCGTCGGATTGTCGTTGACGAATCCGAGCGATGCGCCGGGAACCGTCGACGTGCATACAGCGAGACACATTCTGGTGGAACTGCGCTCGCCCTGGGTTCGTGTTCAGAATCACGGTTGATATTAAGGCGATTAGGCTCGGTACTTCAGCGGGTTTACGTAGAGATCTTTGACTCGATGACCAAAATCAGTCGCTCGAACGGAACACGAGGCGGAGCGGTAAGTGGCCGCTGATAATAATTAGTCTCTCACAACATAAGTCAGCCCCGTGATTAGCGAACGCTTCCCGGTGATGGCAGGGAGGCTTCCGAGTCTTCGCTTACGCAATGATTTACATCACTCGATCGCATGATCGACTCTCGATTTTGAAGTTGGAACTGCCAACACATATGGAACTCCGCTTCGTGCGCTCGGTCCGAACGGGGGAAGCGGCGGCTTTCGCGCTCCCCAACAGGGAATCCATCGCATCAAAACTTCTCTCCCAACAGAGGATCTCCCTCATGAGGTTCATTGAATCGTCGATGTCCCGGCTTCTAGGAATTGCGCAATTTTTTCGAAAACGGAATCGCCAGAAATGTCATCCGACCTCTAGAAGGATATCCAAGAGCAAAAAACGATTCCTTAGAAGCGTTCCGAGCGCAGAGACGCTGCCTAATCTCACAGGGAATCGGAGCCAGACTCGCCCAAAAAATCACTTCGAGGAACTGTTAGCCTCGCCGGAAGCTCTCCACCGGCTCGCCACAGTACGGGAGCTCTAAGTGGCGGCAAAGTCACGTGATCAATGGTCCCTGTCAGAAGAGAGCAATACTATTCGTTTCCAAGAGAATCCGAGAACTGCGGGTCCGCGGCGCCCACCGTTCCCAGATTCCACTTTCCGGGGAATGAACGTCGGGTAATATCAACATCAAGGAATGAATCACCGAGGTGTTCCGACCCGTCGGCGTCGCCTTGAGCGCCGTCCGAGGGGTACGGCCCGTATCATAAACAAAGCACGTTTTCGAAATCGAACGTGAGCTCCTCAGATACCTTATCTCGACGTCGGATCCAGGAACTTCCTCTTGTTTAGAAGAGCTACGACCTACCTGGTTTGCTGAGGCGCCGAAGGTAGTACGCCTGCAGGGAAGTTGTGGCCAGGCTCATGCAATGACTAACGGTGATCATGTTCCATGCGGATGGGATGCCGGTAAACCTGGAGTGAGAGACAGGACGGGCCCTGTGAGCGAATCCGGCTTGACAGACGAACTCTGCACCGCGAGAGGTCCGCCGCTACCCTGTCTGGCGACGGAGATGGGTGGCCCAGCGGCTCAACGGATTCCGAGGGATCAGCGAGCTATGTCGCAGAGCTTTCAATGAAGGCGTGGCTGACCGGACAACCAGAACTGGCGAACACAAGCCCGAGAGTGCCCAGGCTTGTTGATGTCTGCGCGCACTTGAATGGGGCGAGCGCATGCGCCTCACCACATCGATCTGAGCCTCGTGGAAAGACTCGGATGAGGAAGAGGACGCTCCATCTCAGAGGAGAAGGGTACGCGAAAAACGTCTACCCACCATACGGCTGCGGCCGCTGCTTCAGGGGGGGGGGATACTCACCGGAGGAGGGTCCTCACCGGGCATCGAATTCATGTGAGCTCCGCAGAATTACCGTTTCTGTATTTCCAGCATGCCCTCTTGTTCTGCGACGCCCCATACTTGGACGTCGGATTTTCGCAGAGGAAAGACAAAGAGGGTCGCGGATCTCTCAAAGTCCATGGTAATTGATGATCTCGCAGCCACGAATCTCTCGATTCTTTGTGATGGTCAATAACAAGTGCTGCTATCCATGTAGCGCCTCTATAGGGATGGGGTGGGGAACGGACCGTTTTTTCGACAGCAAACAAGTGGTACTTCGGCTTGAATCAGGAATCTCGATTATCCGATAAAGCTGCTCTACTTGAGCTCATCTCAGCTGCCTGTGATTGTTTAGATATTCACAAGAGTCGATGTATAGACATGAGTGTCGATTCATGGGGTCGAAATGTGCGAATGAGTAGGAAATCGCCGAAATTCGCACGGTGCTGAAGAGGTAAACAATGATCGGGAAGGCCATCGAGCTGAACGTCCGCTCGGTCGTTTCCCGAGATTCTGCTCCTAACGGATGCACCAATGGCCGCGGGATGAATGATGAGTGATGAGGATCCTCTCTTCAATGTTCAAACAGTGATCAGATGATATCATCTGTATCGGTTGCAGTTGAAAGCGATCGGCTCAATCATCTCCTCCATTTCGAGGAACCCGACCTAAGGAAACGGATCGACGCTCACCGTTGTGTGACGAGGAATTCAGCGAGAACAGGCATCTTCGTCTGAGCATGGTCTCTAGCTGTTTCTCGCCACGGGCAGCCACTGGTGAGAACAAGGGGTCTTCCACCTAAACGAGTGAATCATAATGTGATCCTCACTATGGTAGATGGGGAAATCGCACAGATGTGTTCCCGGATCACCGTGCACAGCGACCCCATCGGAGACTCGTCAGAGTCCGGATATAGAGAACGATTGCTCTCGATTGCAGGCTGAGCTCTATATGTGGAGAGACGGTCAGAGCCCATGCTTTGGAAATTATCTCGGACCACCCTCGTTTTCCGTTTCGCAGGTTGTTCGTGAAAAAGAGCACCACGGCAGACAACGGTTCGAGGGGGGGGAATAAAGTGAGACAAACTGAGTGAGGGGAAATCATTCTGGACTTCATACTCGGGCCATTTTTGATTCTTCCTTGAGGCTTTTCAATCAAGAGAGATCGCGTGGCGGTCTGCTGAAGGCTCTCATCCTTTAACATGGAACTCGATTGAGGAGAACCGTCTCCAAGTTGGTCCATGGAAATCTGCGACGAACCCCGAGCAGTCCGTGGCGGATTTCGTCTCAATTCCCCCTTCACTGAGCTTCCTCACTCAGATGAGGTTTTTGTGACCTGTTCCTCGCTAACGAAAATACCTCGACCTCGTGTAGCTCCGGGGAAGTCCAGCTCCTAGCTGGAGCTAGATGGAAGTTGGATTGCGAAGCGCGGCCTTTTACCACGCAGAAACTGCAGTCCTAAGTATTTTCCGCGGAATTTAGACATCGTCATCTGACTCTGACTCGATAGGGGTCTCGGCCGAATTCGTCCGACCGACAGAAGTACGCATCGGTATGGGACTCGAGCTTACGCGAAAGCACTGGAAGTCCAGTTTTTCGGATTCGCCTGGCAAGACGTCTCTCCATTGGGGTCGAACCTCATTTCTCTACCCCTCAAGCTACTTGCAGACTGATTCTCAGACCTCGAATTTTGCCCAAAACAAGGGGCCTAATGGACAACTACATAACCCGATTGAAGTTCGCACGATGAGCAGCGTCGAATCTGTGGTCTGTCCCGCGAAATCATCCGCGAGCCACGACTCATCACAAATTGCCCACCGCAATGGTTTCCGAATACTGAATCACAGCGACCTTCTGATCACAGGGGCATCTCGTCGCTGACCCCTGCCAGGGACGGCTTCCTTTTTCCCGCGGAAGTATTTTAGGGCTTGTCCTTCGTTTCCAGGAACCATTCCATCGAACTAGTATAGTGCGCGGCTTCCTCAAGCATGTCCGTCCTAGCCTGACACTTCTATCGGGCAGCCGGAAAGCCCTCATGCTTCCTTCCGATCCGGATTCGTGTGCGTGTCGCCCCGCACGGCGCCAGCATGGGTGATGTATATATGAATGAGTTGTCTCGTCGCCGCGAGTACAAACCCGGTGAGAAAGAGGACGAGAACTCCAGAGCGTAAGAAGGTTGGTTGGGTATACACCGCGGACCGTGATCGCTGTCTTCGACTACATTCTCTGGGCCGCTTCCTCCTGTTGAGCTGAGCGGGCGAGTGTTCATTCTGGCCTCAGGTCTGACTTGAGGGAAGTCCGCATTGTATAGCTACCCCATCCCGCCTCCTCTGCTCTTGTTCTGCTTGCCATCTCTGTATAGCTCGTCTCTCCCTCGCAAATAACCTCACGAGGGACGATCAAAGCCTCGCCTGATGTGAAGTGCGCACTCGCAGATTGTGAGCGGGATCTCAAAGATCATCACCAGTTTTGCGATTTAAGAGGACTCCTATCCTTTCGTCCGTTACTAGGAGTTTTCCAGAAACTGTCCGCTTCTCGGAATCCCCACGAGCATCGGCCAAGGATGGAATCAGAGTCCGCGCGAACACTCTCATTCTTCGGGGAAAACAAGTGCTCTCATACCGCGACCCCAGTCATCGCATATGCTGACGATACAATCTTCTCTTGGAGGCTCCGAGCTTCCAAAGTGATCTTATTCTCACCTCATTACAACTCGACATCCTCCTCAGGAATCAGTTCGCTCCCTATGTTTAATAAAATCATCTTTATTGAAAGGAATTCGAAAGAAAAAACGAATCTGTGATGGATGAAACATAGGGGGTTCGAACCAGAGAAATCCTGGAGTCTTCAGTGCGATAACGACCTGCGCAACGCCTTCATTAACAGTCTAATTCATTCAAACAGATCTCTTTCTGGCAGTGTACGAACGAACGAAGGAGCTGTAGAGTTCACGAGTGACGACACTTGGTAGGTCTTGGTAGACACTGGTTGGCGCCGTCACGGTAGCCGACACCGTTTATTCCAGCAATGCGTTCATCGATACCTAATGTTCCGGGCTACCTGACCCTGCCCCACAAATATATGCCCCCAGAGCACAAATCCCACAATCCCACAAATATATGCCCCCAGAGCATATATTTGTGCCCCTGATCAGTTTCCCTCTGAAATGAGAACTTATTCCGGGGAGCCGATTTCCTGCGGCGACGACGAGAGTCCAGAAGAATTCGCCAAGAGGAAAGAATGAGTCAGATCGCGTCCTATGCCTCTCAGTTTCAAGGAGAATCCGGAGGAGGACTTCCGAACATTTCGCGAGACTCGACGAATTTCGGATCGCGAAACGAACTTTTTGAGTCGATCAGGGTCTTGTTTTTGACAGGTCGAAGCCGCACTCTATGCTCTGAGGGACAAACATCAGCGCCGTCCTGGAAACCTCTTATTGGCACTTATGGAAAGATTGGGTTACCCGCCATTCTATAATCCTCCGAAATCTGAGAAGAAGTCTTGAAGATCGGAAGCACGTTGTGTACGGGAACAGCTCGCAAATATCTCGCAGATGACGGACCCGGGTCTCAATCGGTGAACTCGGTCGGTGGAGACGAGGATTGCTGTCAATCTTTGTCCGATACACTTGAACTCGCTGTCCCGCGAGATTTTCCGGACTCGAGGCCGGTTAGTCGCCCAGAAACCCAAACTCTGAAAAGAACGATATCGTCTCAATATAGTGTTCAATGTCGTTATCAATAAAAATCATTGTCTAGCCTCGTTCATCAAATCGGATTTCTTGTATGTACAGTCTACCACGGCTCAACTTTCGGAGTTGAGTACCAGAACAAAGCACAATGAGTACTTCAGCTTAGAATTATGGAGAAACCCACAAATTCTTGATGATTTCTGTACAAGCCGGGTCCCTGACTCCATAAGTGGAGAGCATCTGCGAGTTTTGAAATCTCGAAAAGGTCCACTATCGGACACTTGAGCACAGTGGAACCTAACGGGTCCATTGCCTCGGCCCACGTCAAGCTCGTGGTCTGGCCGGCGCCATCGTGTCTTGTCCCACATATGGGTTGGTACATTTCAAGAGTATTAAGCCTGGTAAGGCATGAGCCCCGTGGTAGAGAAGTGCGCCCTTTGCTTGATTGAGCGGACTTTAAGGAACATCCAAGAAATGGATCTCGATCGCTCCTCGAAGATCATAGACATCGTGGGTGACGCTCTCATTCCACATTGCATCCATCTCAAGGACGATGAGGAGCAGGTCGCCCGAAGATAGATGAGTTTTTCTCCCGAAAAGCGGAGCACTGAAGCCAAAACCGTGTTCAGTGGAGACGGGTCAAACGACTTCCGGATGAGATCATTCGCTAAGACTTAAGATTCCTGGCACGACTGTCTGCCTCAGAATCAGTCACCAAAACCCAGTCTCCAGAAGTCATCCTCGCCGGCTTTCTTCCAATTCGAGCTCCTCTCCATGGTAACGGTGAACTTGGAGGTGTCGCGACCGGAGTCACAGGGGATGATTCACCCGAACTCGCAGAAGGCGATTCTCGCGATGAGTGGATTCTCCACCACCGTTGTATGACGATCAAGAGCTCCAGACCGCTCCATTTCCTCCCCATCAGCCAACGGTGGGAGGACACCTTCCCTTGGACATAAAGTCTCTTTCTTGATCCTCACGTCATGCGACCGCATCAACTTGGCCGTCGAGGGAACCTCGACACGGTATCCATCTTTCTCATTCACGTATCCGACTATGTGACGGGCAAGAGACTTCGCATCAAACTTTCTCCGAGGCTT